TGACACATAATTTTCTTAATTATATTTTTTGCTTGGAATGAATACATGACAACATAATGTTATTACGATACTCACAATGGTATCTACTAGAGCACAGAATCACCACTGTTTTGCTGTGTTGACCTTATATGGAAACTAAATGCCACATAGCAGACATACCTTATCACGTAACGTAATTCCAGAGTCCACAATATCATTTAAACCGACCATACCCATGCCTACAGCTACACCCTACAAGAAAATAAATATTGTTTCTTTGAATTTTCAGACAAAAGAAGTTTTATTTCATGACTATGAAACTTGCTAGCACACACGTTGTATGACAGTATAAATAAGAAGGTTTGGGCTGAATTGAAAATGAAAAGACATTTTTCTCTCAATATAATAAAATTATGCCAATTAGTATTTTCAAAAAACGATGCCTTGATATTGGCAGCCATATTGTAGCGGGTGCTTGTGAATATAGGACATGACAAAATAAACAAACACATAAAAAAGAATAAATTTACCGTTTTGTTCTGATCATTATTGTTAGTAGGTTTCCATTTGGCATGATTAAGGGCTTCCTCGGTGGCAGCTAGTGCAAACACTGTGGCCTCTGACATGGTTCTCTGTTCCTAAAAAACACAGACACATACAAAAATTGGAATTAATAAAAAAAAAAATCAATCCTAAACATGTTTTACATTATATGTTTACAATTGCCATCTGATAAACTGAAAAACATTTTCATTTCGTGGAACAAAATTCAACAGTCAGTGTAAATCAGGAAATTTTGTAGCATAACATTTTTCACAGGGTTCCTACCATCTTCACCAGCCAAGGTTCATTTGTTCACTTTTTGCCTTGACACAATAAAACATAAGGCACATACTCTAATGAGTTGCCATGGTAAACAGAACACAAAGTCATGTGTTATGACGCATATGCATAGAGAATTGAATGTGAGATCTGTGGTGTGTGGCCCAATAAATTGGCAGACGACAGGTTTAAAGTGCAAGGAATGTTTACTCATATTATAACTAACAGAACTCACAACTGATGGCGGGAATATGGCCATGTAAACTATGATATACGTTTATACTATTAATGTTCAGACACAACAAGGTCACATGTTTTAGTCAGTTGAGCTATTATGTGATATGTGATGATATACGGGTGATAAACTTCAAATTTCAAAATTTGTGAATAAAAAAGTCAGGAGAGAATATTCAATGTCCAGAAATATCGCTTGAAATTCAAAAAAATAAATTAAAACTTACTGATGTGGAAACATATTTTGTCGCCATGAATTCTCCTTCACAATCACCTCTAGGAACATAACCAACTGAAAGAATAGAACATACAGTGTGTGTTACAGACATTTCAACAAAACTTTGAACAAAAATAAAAATAGTTATTGTGCCAGTTGATTGAGGCTTGTTTATTCGGGAAATGCGGTGGAATTATGTATACTGTAACAATAAGGCCGGACAAAAAATATTCTTTGTTCATTGGAGCTGCTTGAATTTTTAACTTTTAATTAATTAATTTCATATTTGTGCCAAAAAATAACTTGACTGTTGATGGCACTGCAGTGCAAGCAGTGCGACCTCAGGCCAAGTGTTGTCTGTATATCTTCTCAACCGTGCAGTTGTCCACTGCTGACGATTGTCTGCTCTAATGTTTGCAATTTTTTGAGGTTTCCGCCTTTTGTACATCATTTAAAGAACTTTCAAGTTGAGTATAAATGTTAAAATTTTTTGGCCAAAAAAGACGAAATATTGACATGTAATTAATATACCGTACTTCCCTGAGTAGCCCAGGGGTCTGAACATGTAAAATCAGGAAAATTAGGGCGTGGGCTTATACTCGAGGACCACCTCAGAAAAGATAATTTTTTGGGGGGTTCAAAATTGTAACCCTCTTCCCAACCTCGAAAAATCATCAAAATTACACTTTTCGTTCACAGATCCGGTCTCGGAGAAATATTACGTCGTTTTGATTTCCACAACACTTTTTACAATGAAGAAACAAATATGTTCATAAAAATACACACATTTTATTACAATACGGTTTACATACCATCTGAATTTACGGTGCAGGAATGGGTAGGGTCTGTGGGAAAACTGTCAAAGGCAAGATCTTTATCATTATCTTTGTTGTGGAATGTTTTTGATCGCTCGCACACTCTCGATACAAAGCAATTTCCGCCATGGTGTTTTTCATCATGATTTGATCTGAACAACTTCCTTTGACCTAAAAGGTCATGTCTTTCGTTAACCAATCAAAATGCTGTGTTGTACCATAGACCCTCTAACAGGGTCTATGGTTGTACAGACGAAGTTTTCCGATTATTGACGTAATTGAAGTAATTTTTGCAAAGCAATGCAGAAGTGAATTACCGCGATGTTAAAATGCGATCTGATTTCGTCAAAAGATGGTGATTTTTTTCCCTAAAGCTGTTGATTTGCAATTTTCGAAAAGTAAACTGAGGGTGGAGGAAGTATTTAAACGTTTCACGGTCGCCAACAAGTCATGTCAAAGAATAGTTTGCTTGTTCACATCCCATTCACGAAGGTCTCAATGGACACGATTATTCGGGAATGTAAAATAATAAAATCATGTTCAATGACCATTTTTGGCGTTTCTAAAACCACTACTCA